AAATCCGCAGAACTGCCACAAAGGAGTCCAGGACCAGCAGAACAGCTGTGATGTGTTCCTTGCTTCAGACAGCTGGTTGTAGCTAATGCAGCCACTTTAAGATTAAGGGAGGAAGGAATGAGGAGAACCAGCACTCCTAGATCAGCACACCTCAGTCAGAGAAAAAAAAAGGAAAGCAGACTTGAATAGCTTCTCATCCTGCCTCACTGAAAATCTAACAGACTCTACCTTCAGTTTGTACAGACCAAAAAGACCTTAGCCCTACAACTATGTACAGAACAACTTTCTTCTTTTCATTTAACATTTTAAGAATAATTCACCCTTCCTCTAATTCACACAATTCAAATGTATAATCCAAGAATATGCTGCAGACTTAAACTCCCTTACTTTCATCAGGCCAATTTACCGTTGTAATATTTTCATCACTAGAAGCAACTACCTTCTAAAGGATGTTTATAACATCAGAGATTGGGAGAGAGAACAATCATAACCTAAAATAAAAAGATTTTTCAATAAGAAATTAATGTTCTTTATGCAAACTGAGACTGCCTCCTGAAAAATGCCCAACTGAGTAACAGGAAAGTACCCACTCCTCTACTAACTACAATGGGAAGATGTCTCCGGAGCTTCTTAAAATATATTCATCTGCTACTCCATTACACCATATGGATTTCTGTCTCTTTAAGTGGCTTGTGTTGTTTTTGCTGTTGCTGTTGTTGTTGCTATTGTTGTTGCTGTTGCACAATACTTCTGGTCATATTAATGGCCTTTTACACTTTCCTTAGCATGTTCCTGCCCATCTTGATTCTGGGCCATTGGCCATCTGCTACTGTATGTGCTTACAGAAAGTATTTCCAGTTCTCTCCTCTAGACAGCTCTAGAAAATGTCTTACCATGAACAATGAGAGGGACAGATGGGACATTTCCTGATATCCATTCCACTCAAGCCACATGACTTTTATGTAGATAATTCTATAGATGAGCTTCTTTGAAAAGACTTCCTAAAGAACTCGTTTCATATTTCTTCTGATTTTCAGTTTAATTCCCAAGGCAAAGATTTATAAGGATCTTCTATATATAGGATTTCTCAGAAAGCAGACTAGCAAATTTAACACAAAGCAAGAAGGCCTGGCTTCTCTTTCACCCAAAGTTTATAGTCTCCAGACAAAATGAAGAATTTCAGCAGAGGACTTAAGGCACATGCTTGGTAAAATTAGCTTTGTGTTGAAGGTAACACAACCACTTCTTAAACACCCAGCCCATGTCATCAGCTGGTCTGTGTTTTACTTCAATTTCTTTAATCCTCACGGCACTAAAGCACTAGAAATTCGATGATTCTATCACCAGCATCTGTTATCCTCATCATCCACATTCCAAAAACAATAAGCCTGAAGGTAAAGTATATGATTTAGTGAAGTGATAGCCAGAAATCAAAATCAAACTTTTGTGACATTCCAGCAGAGGTACCAATCCATCTACTGCAATGAAATAGATTTTTTGTTAAAAAAAAAAATGGAACATATTCCCAAAGAGCAGGAAGTCCGAGGCTTTCATCCGTGAGAAAAATACCTTGTTTGTGGTGGCGTCAGCAAGGTGCTTGTTTCAGCAAGAAAAGAAGATGAGGGAGGCATCACCACTTAAGATGAAAACCTGGCAGAAAAGCAACTGAGAAGAGATGAACTAAACCATTTCAGGACCTAAGTAAGAAAGTTTATGTTTCTATTAAAGGACTGGTAAAGTCTGAGACCCAGTTATAGTAGTCAAAATGTAAGGTGAAATTGGTTTAACAAAAAGATGCCAAAAACTGGTTCTTGGCATGTATGAGATATTTTTCAAAAGGGAGAGTAGTAGGGTGAAGAAAGAGTAAAAGAAAAAAGAGGCAGACAGATAAGTGAATACCAAATACAAGGAATTCTTCAGACAAAGGAGATGTTTGTACTAGACTTAAAATAATAAAGTCTAAATTTATCTCTAATTTGTATGTATGTGTGTATGCGTTTGAGTGTGTATGTTTGAGAAAGACAGAGAGACACAGAGACACAGAGAGACCTGGCTCTAAGGAGTAAACCTGCTGGCCCAGCATCAGTAAGAGCTACTCACCACACTTGACAAAATCACACTTGACTCGTGGACCACAGTTCTCTCATGTAAACACTCTTATAAAAATAACTAGCAGAATCACCCAGAGCACTCAAGACTAAGAGTAAAAACAACCACAAATATAGCCTTTTAAAGACATAGTGTGGTCCAGTAGGACACTTTAAACCAGCAACAGCAAAGACTATAATTTCCTAAGGGAATATTATCACAATTTCTTAACGTATATTTGAACTAAGACTGTAAGAGTTCTCCTTAATGTAACAGCACTTAGCTATGGCCTTTTCCACCACCAGTTACAAGATAGAATGCAGGCTCTTTCAACATAATTATTTCAAAGGGATTAAACTGGCAGTAAATTAGTATAGTAACCTACAGGGCATTCTTCACAATCTCCAATCACAAATCACCTTTTGATACAAAAGAAAAAAAAAAGAAGATTTTCAGATTTCTCAAATACCTATGGTAAGTCAGTATTAAATTCTGAATCATAACTCAATAACTTGGATCAACATGAAATATGGAAAATGGGGAAAGAGTGTGTCATTATGTTCTAATGAAGAAATAAGGAGACAAACTCACAACATGAATAATGATAGCCTGACAATACTATCTACAAAATGATGAAACCAATTATTCCCTGACTGTTACATGGTTCCATATTTTTCAGGTGTTTCTGGAAAAAAAAAGAATGACATAATATAATGAGATATAATCTGGATATAATCTAGATTATTGTTTTTATTTTGTTTGTTTGTTTTGTTAACACAAGTTAGAATTCACTGGAAATGTGGAACCTCAATTGAGAAAATGCCTCCATCAGAATGGCATGCAGGATAGCCTGTTAAGCATTTTCTTGGATGATGATTGATGTGAGAAAGCCCAGCCTACTCTGTGTGGTGGCACCTCTAGGAAGGTGTTCCTGGGCTATAAAACAAAGCATATGAGTAAGCCAGGGATATCAAGCTTGTATCCAACACTCAACCATGGTCTCTACTTCAGTTCCTGCCTCCAGATTCTTGCATTGATTTCCTGCCCTTACTTTCTACTATGATAGACTATACCTTCTGAGATAAGATAAACCATTTCTTCTCAAGTGGCACTGGGTGAGTATTCTATCACAGCAATAGAAGGCAAACTGAGACAGTCATGTAAGATCTGTGACAAAGCATAGAAAGGAGAAAAAGAAAGGTTTAGGCAGGAGGGGTGGGAGAGAAATGCCATCTGTGGTAGAGAAATGTAATCTCAGCAATACTTGTTCCTAAATTCTTGACATCTGTCTGCCACTTTCCACCACATCATTAAGCAAAACCATAGCTTCTCTAAAGAATGGGATTTTCTGTCTCCAAGGATGATGTCTCAGATACATAACGAGTAAGGTTCAAAAAACCAAACAGCTATGATCTGACATTTAAGTGGGTTCCTAGGGTCGTAATATGCTTTTGCCAAAAGTGAACAATGATGAAAACAGTTACTTCTGGATTTTGGCCAAAACAGAATTCACAAAGCTATACATTCAATTGTTTTTCAATAAAGTAAACTTAGGTTTCTGAAATAAGTTTTGACATACATTTCTTTCAAATAACAATACCTTACATTTGGATCTTTCCCCCAATTAATTATTTCCTGGCATGGCATTAGAAATCCCTTGGCTGCTTAACCTTAAACCAATACTCCCAAGTGCTAATTAGCAGAATATATATATATATATATATATATATATATATATATATATATATATACACACACACACACACACACACACATCTCCACAGAATGCGCTTAGAACATTCATGCTCCACATGCATTCAATTAATAACACTATTTTTTTCCTTCTTGAAAGATTCCTTTAGAAAATAGATCCCAATTTAAATGAAGCACTTGGTGGTTAGTGAGGGAATTCTTATCAAGACACAATTAATAAGAAAATGCTAAGATGACATAGGATTTTTGTCTTTGAGATATCCTTAACATGAATCAAATGTAATCTCCCTGGGACAGCCAGTGGAGGGAAAAGTTAATGACTGCAGATGCTATACATGTTAATCACACCAGGGGACTCCCTAAGAGAATGACCAAATCACATAGGAACTACAACACTCCTGAAGAAATAGATATGGCAGTAAGAGCCAGGGAAGAACACTATTGTCTTGTGAATGCAATAGAATACATAAGGAAAGAAACAGATGTAAACAGTGTAGAACTAATGATTGCTAGTTATAAAGAAGATATGATCATCTCATTAGTGGCAAGCTAATTGACCACAATCCCAGTTTCATAAATTGAGTCCAGAAGCTGAAACTTTAGTGTCTGCTTTGCATAGAATTCTTTTCCCACTTCCAGACCCTCCACCCAGCCACAAAGTTGTCAGTTCTGCTTGATTTGTTTGAATATTGTACTCCACGACAGCTGTCGGAAACAGTACATCAGAACAGCTGCTGTGACAGCTACAAGGGGCTTGCAAGTTTAATTGGGCTCAATGTGACATTGTGCATTTTTCTAAACATAGAAGTATCCATACAACTAAAGAAATTTCTATTGGGTCTCAACAGTGTTTACATATTAACACAACCAATTGGTCAGCTACAGTTTAAGTGATACTGTTGGTCTTGTTTTACCTTTGCCACAAGGCTGGTAGAAGTATAAAAAAATATATAAAAATAGAAATAAGCAGTAGGAGCAGTTAGACACACAAGCAAGGAGGCATTAAACAGAAGAGGAGGTAGTGGAAGAGACACATCAATAATCTCTTTCAAAGGCTGGCAAGAAGCCAAGGAGAATCCCACAGTGTTTCAGGATATACTTCCCAAGGAAATATATTCAGAGCCCTGAGCCTAGTGCCAACTGCAAACAAAACCACTCATTATGGCCACAGCTCCCTAGAGAAGGACAGAATGGCTTACTCTCAGCACAGGCGCAGAGGAAGAAGGCGAGGAGCAGCGACAGCGGCCTGGCCACGGGCACCATCCTGCAGCTTGTCAATGGCATGCACCGGCAGCTTGGAAACTCAGCCTAGGGAGCCACAGCGACTGATCTGCTCAGAAACTTCAGCTGGAACCCTTTCAGAGCCTGTGAAGGGAGGAGACAAGAAAAGAAGAAAACACAGAGACATTTAGATTTCTCACTCTTTCCCCACGTCCTACCACAACCTAGAAAGACATGCCCTATTGTAAAAACACAATAAACACTGGAGATGTCCTGTCTTTGTAATGGGAAATAACTTGGATAATAAAATGCAGGGTCCCTAGCATTCTTGCTGCCAGGCCACCTACAACCAATCACCAGGAACTCATTTCTATGCCATCTTTTGGTCACTATATTCTAGGTAGGGGGAGGGCACAGACACTTCATACAAAAATCTACATGAGTTTATAATGGAAAAGGGCACATCAGAGCCTTAAGAAATGCCTAATAGAAGTCTGTCCATCTATTAATAACAGAATAAAGGGAGGCTTATATGGGTGCTTTGCCCGTGTGTGTGTGTGTGTGTGTGTGTGTGTGTGCGCACATGTGCATACAATACCATGTATGTACCATGACTGCTTATCACATTTATACCTTGTGCCCATGGAGGTCAAAAGAGCATGATCAATTCCCTGAGACTGGAGTTACAGATGGTTGTGTACTACCATGTGGTGTTGGGAAGCCTTGAGCATACATGAGCAGGATTATAAGAAGACATGGAATGGGTATTCCCTGAACTCCGTGCAGAGCTTTGACAAAAGTAAGATTCTGGTGTGCTGAAGTAGGGATGGCTTGTTAAAACAGAAAACTAGGCACCGCAATAGGTTACACTTCTCTCACATGCTCTATAACTTTGTGTTCCTCATTTCTGGGAAGTGTGGATGCACATCTGGTTTGGGATCCACACAATTTGTGAGGGCTACAGGGTTAGAATGTCGTAACTGTTAGGAGAACAGAAGATGATACAAAAGAGAACACAAAGAGATCCTTGGCTGTCAGTCTCTGCCTAGTGATCTTTACCCAGCCAGCACAAAAACAAGCTCTATACTGTTTGAGAGCAGAGGAAAAATAGAGAACTAGGCTTTGGGAAAGTTCACTGACAGCAGCATCAGGTACAATGCAGAATGCCACTAAGTTCATAGCAAGAGTTCCAGGTGAGACATAAAATCACTCAAAGGTGATGGTTTGTGTGACAAGATGGCTCAAGGAGTAAAAGTGCTGGCTTCACAAGACTGATGACCTTAGTTTAATCTCCAGAAACCATAGAAGAAGGAGGAAACCAACATTTAGAAGTTGTCCTCTGACCTCTACACATGTCATGTCACATATACACACATGTGTATGAGTGGACACACGTGTACATGCGTGCACACACACACACATCCATGCACAAATAAAATAATAAATAAGTCCCTTAAAGCCCTTTCCCCCTAAATAATGAGTTGATGGTCACAGCAGTGAGACAATAATGGGGGGGGCAAGGTGATCACAGACAGGCTCTAAGAAATAATCTGGAGTGTGATTCTCAAAGTGATGTGCAATTGTGCTTACAAAACTTTCGATAAATACAGCACAGCTTCCTACACAGAGTAGCCTCTTAAGATAAAAATAATAGTGGAGAGACTGCTCTTCACTATAAAACATAGCCTCCCCTGTCTCTGTGATGAGAACTTAAGATCATCAGGATTCGTTTGCAAAATGAAACTGTGCACCTTGAATTTTCATACCTCTCATTGTTTGAAACACATGAAACTCTTGACAGGATATAGTAGAGATACCCAAAAACAAGCTCACACCACAAAGCAAATGGATCTTAAAAGAATAGTAATGCAGCCATTACACACATTTTGTCCTTTCTGACACAGAATTTGAAAATTAAAATATCCTTTTTATTAAAAAAACACCTGGGTTTTCATTAATATGCAAGAATAGTTTGGATTCAGGAAAGATACAGCAAAGAGGAAGAGCAGAATCACTCTCTAATTACCATTCTACTCTCTAGGCTCTTCTTTTGTTTGTTTGTTTGTTTTTAGACAGATTTGTGGCATGAAGAAGTGAGCTGAACACTGAAACACATCTTGAATCCGCAAGCTAGCCAGCTGTTCCAGAACAGTGATTGGTTATCAATCTCATCTGGAAAACAGCTTATCAAGCAGTTCACAGCTATCAGCTGTTGGAAATCGCAAAGCTTCAGAGGAAAAGAGCTACAGGAATCAGCTCTCCTCCCCCTCTCTCCTCCCCCTGCCACCGCCTCTTTCTCACGCCAGCGTTTCAGATGGTAGAAAAGTCCAGGAGACATCAGTCCTGTCGGATTCAATTTGTGTCTGGGCAAGCATATCAGAGCCAACTGCTACATAACGACTCTGAGCCATCACAGCATCAGAAACCCACAGAAGCTTGCTCAGGGAAGGGCGCCTTGCCTTTTCCATGCACTCAGCTAAAGTGTATTAAGACCCAATTTTTCCAAATAAGTCTGCAAATGTTCCCTCTCACTTGGGTCAGTGACAGGATTTCACTCTCTAAAAATGAATGCTAACATGAAAAGAAACATTTACACTTAAATAGGCTATGCCCTTGGCCAGTGCATCAAGGAAGTAATCAGAAGTGTTCAAAAATTCGTATACCAGAGGTTCACTCCATAAACACCACTGGAAAGCAAATGTTGGATAGTATCGATACAATGAAATTGATATTGCAATACAAAAATGGGAAATGAATTTTTAGGGTAGATATTTAAAACAAAAAGAATGATGGTGTTTGCCTTTAGCCTTTTGGGGTAGAAAGGAGGCAAGGTAGAAGCTGCTCTGTGCTTTAGGAAACCAGAAGAGACAAACTCTGCCTCTCACACCTTGTGACACTCATTAACAAAAATATATAAATAAAACTCACATAGATGTGAGCTTCAAATATTTTAGACACTGCTGTTTACTTCCCATACGACAAAGTTTTTATGAAAGATTTCAAGTAACCAGTATATTAAAATGGAATGCACCTGTGTGGTAGGGAACTTCCCAGATAGTACAGGCAGAATGGTACTTGAGAATCACATGAGCCAGAAGTGGTGGTGCATGCCTTTAATCCCAGCACTTGGGAGGCAGAGGCAGGCGGATTTCTGAGTTCGAGGCCAGCCTGGTCTACAAAATGAATCCCAGGATAGGCAGGACCACACAGAGAAACTCTGTCTCAAAAAACAAAACAAAAAAAAAAAAAAAGAGAGAGTAAATCACATGAGCTGAATCTAAATCTTTTTCCTTAATTTGGGGACATTTTCTACAACAGATAAATTAATATTTAAACTAAAATCAATACTGATCTTTCTCCAGCTTTCCATAGTACTAAATACATTTATGTAGATTAGGTCAAATGTAGCTTTTGTTTTTTTAAAAAAAATAGGAATGGCTGGTTTTAAGTTGTCACAAATCTTTCTGGAACTTCTTGCCACATACAGGAGCAAGGAAGTGGTCGGAAACTCCAGGACATACCCAAGAAAGGCTCAAGACAGTGATATACCATCAGCTAAATATAAGGTGATCTATCTGGCTGGAAAAAAGAACAGTAACTACTATGAAATGAAGTACATCATGTAGAAACCTCTGGCTTCATAATTCAAATTGTTTTAAATTATACCAGAGAAGTTATTAAACTGTTATGGTCTGACAATGTGTTTCCCAAGGTGTATGTGTTAGTGGCTTAGTCCCCAGTCTGTGGCTCTAAAGGGAACAAGTGGAATCATAGGAGCTTAAGGCTTATGGGACATCTGGTCAGAGCTGGCAGGTTTAACATGGGTATTGAGGGCTAATCCCTCCTCTTCCTCCTTCTGTGTCTCAGTCAAGAAAACAAAGTTGCTCTGCCATGTGCTGCCACCATGATACACTAAGCCACTCTATTCCTAAAGCACCAGTACCAGTCATTTATGGTCTAACCACGCTTAAAATGAGCCAAAATAGGCCATTCTATCCTTCAAGCTGATTCTATCTTGGGTATTTGTTACAGCAGTGGCAAGCTGACTAACACAAGAATACAACCATTAAACTGAAAAGAGAGTAAGAACAGAAAAAAATTAACCATCGAGTAGAAAATAATCTGTACAAGGACTTTGAAGTCAATGATATTATCATGAGAAAACTATGTGTCATTGTTTTAACACTTGGCCCCTTCTGTCTCATATCACATCATTGTAAGCTTACCCAAGAGAAGCAGTAACTTCCTAATACTATTTAACATGGGCGGACAAGCCTACAAAAATCCAGTCGTTTTCAAGGAGAGTCCTCAGTTACTGTGACAGCTCTCATCAACCTCCTTAACTAGACCTCCATAAATCAACTGGAACTGGTTTCCAATTATTTAAGAGATGGAGCCATTTGTACAAAGGATATGTTACCAGGCAGCTTCAGTTTGAAAGAGACAAAAGCATAGCTATTCAGGCAGAAGTGGAATATCTGCTGCAGTGCCAATAGAGGCTTCTCTGAGCACCATGCAAATTCTCTATGTCCTCAATACATAGCATAGCAAAAGAAAATGAAAGGAATCAAAACCTATACCTTCAGTGTTCCTCATATTGATTTTTCTAAGAGAAGACAGACCCCTGAACTATTTATCTTGATAAATTACAAAAGCATTCGGCTCTGTCCAACAGAACTCCCTGCATCATAGAATAAAAGATTGTTTGAGGCACGACAAGTAGAGTAGATTTATTCACATTTATTTACATTAATTAAATAGCCTCATATGTACATGACTATCCTAGTGTGCAACATGCTCAGCAATGAGAAATACACTTAAAGCATAGAAAGTGTTCTCAGCCCTATCTGAAACAATGTGATACAATTTCTGAGTCTTTTTATTCTTGGGAACTTATAGAAGGAGCTATAAGGTTGTACTGTTGAGGGAATCAACTTAATGTTTAGACCAATCATTTCCTATATTCTGTGTACATTCACATACACATCTAAATAGTTTTATTTTCATTTAATTATTTCTATAGTTGCTGAAATAAAACATTGTGTGAAAGTTCTGCAATATGCAAAAGAATGAAACTTTATCCTTGTTTCTAGCCATATATATATAAGAACTTCCATATATATATATATATATATATATATATA